CCACTTGCCTAAAACTTTTGCACAGTACTGTGTGTGTGTGTGTAATTATATATTTAAATTACTCTTGAAAAATGGATGAATTCTAGCAGAAAATCATGTTGATTTTTCCCATTATGATTTGTCATATTCTAACTGTACTCAGATCTCAAATATTGGTGGGAATGTACTATTGGGAGACTTGAAAGAACAGGTTAGGGATTGATCATCATGGAGAAAATCTATTTATGTGGTTGCTAGGAGTCAAAAATGACTTAATGCCAAATAATCAGTCAATCTGAGGCTAAGCTAAAATGTTCTCCCAGTTATTTAACAAAGAAAATAATTTTCCTGTGGGGAAAGAACTTTCTCAGATCCCTATTTTTTGGACATTCAAAATGAATGATGTTTCCATATAGATTTTAAAAGGTGGGAGTTATGGCTGGAGAGATTTTTTAAATCTATTTCAGTCTTGAAAGAAGTGAAAAAACTAGCGGGGAATGCCATGTGGTCATTCCTAAATGTTATAGGCAAATCACTTGACAAAATTTCTAAATGTTGTTGTCAAACCACTTAATGTTATGACTTTACATTTTAATTTTGTTCATTAGACAGCATATCTCATGCTTCTGTGGTGGTCGACAATGTTCGGAATGAGCCTTTTCTTCCATTCAGTATTCCATTGTCATTCCGTTCCCCATCTCCTCTCGTCTCCCTTCAAGCTGTTAAGGACAGGTAAAATTGTGTGTGAATTTCTTATCCATCACATCACCCTTTTTGTTTAGTTTAATTTAAACATATCATGTTAATCCATATCTGTTTTCTCCAATCTAACTTTCAACTCGCTTAAAGCTAGCTAACAGAGAGTTAAAGATTCTTTTTAAAAATGTCAGAATGGTGGACTGAGCAATGGACTTCTTCAGTATGTATTTTGCTTATGAGTTTCTGTATATCACTAAGTGTAGTTAAAAGATCTTGGGCCTTTGGGAATTGTGGGGTTTAGAACCAACAGTTGCCCACTTCCTTCATGAGAAGTTGTCTGTACTTTGAATTAGCTTTTCTTTCTCCTTACTTGGTTGCAACAGATCTCGGTGGATCAGCCCTGTCATGAAACTCCATATAGGTTACCTGTGGCAGCTGGTCTTCTTTGGAGCAATTTTCTTAGCTGGTGATAAGGGGAGTTCCCCACTCATACCATGTGCCTTACACTTGCTCTGTATAGACTTTTCATGATCACCAAGACTGCGATCAGAGCCTTCAGAAGAAAGGATTGCCCTAACCACAAGCCCCCCAGGGTTTTTGGAGCAAGCTGCCAATGGTCTGTGAGCAGCACTGATTCCAGTGATGTGATTGAGAAGCTCCTCCACCAGATTGTGAAAAAGTTGCACATGTTAGAGAAGCCAGTGTGAACCATATGGTGTGAATGAAGCAACTTCCTCCATCACCAGCCAAGCAAGTTGCCCTGAAGAACAAGGTCTCCTGCCATGAGGAAGCTGCATGGAGCCTTGTGACTAGATTGATCCAGCAAGATCTGCCACTGCTGACAGAGGAGGAGGAAGAGCACATCCTTTGAAAAAGGTACTTTATGCATACCAAAAGCCCATCTGCCATTTTGTGAATTTGTAAAGTAACAAAGAGGGCCAAAAAGAGTAACTGTGCAAACCTTGAAGTGAGGTCTGGTCTGTGATAACCACAGATATGTGAAACCACAGATAACAAGGCTGCAGGTAATATATGTGCGTCTTTTTCTCTGTTCTTTTCCTGGTAGAATATCTTTGGCATGGGAGGTACTTAGAGGGCCAATTTTATAAACAAAATTTATTTAAGAATATTTTTGAACAGATCATACAATATAGAAGGTGTTTTAGAAGTATAGAACTCCATGCTTATTTACAGAACGATAGTTTTCTTTTTCACTGGTTTGTCTGTTTCCTTTTAAGATATGCTGACTTTTCCTTCTACTCTTTACTCTGTCTACTGCTCATCCTTCCTTATTAAGAAACTGTCCAAATAGCCCTTAATTTACTTTATAGAATGCAAATAATTTACCATTTTAACACTGTCAATTAAGCATCAATTCCTTGACCACTGATCCATTAATATTAAATGTAGAGGAAGCAGACAAGTAAATGCTTCTATGATTGGTACTATATGCAAGCCATTTGCGGGTATGGATTCTGATCAGAAGACTAAGTTGTATCATTTCCACAGAAAAATGTTCCAGGAACAAATTCCACCTCAATATGCACAAAATTATAAGGCCAGGAGAGACAGGCGTAACAGGAAAAGATGGCCATAAGAAGAGTCAAGCTTAAACAGGCAGAAAGATTCATCTGGTCAGCACTCTGGTCTGCTAGTGGCCAAATTATGTCAATGCCCGCAGACAGGTTATGAATGTTGTTGTAACTTATTACTTGGTATAAAGCATAGTTATCATGACTACTTAATAGAATTATCTTAGATAATTAATAGAATTATCTTCTATAAGTTAGAGTTTAAAGCTGTCTGAATTGGTAGCCATTGATTGTGAAGAGAAAATAGTTCCCTTTATCTGTCCTGAACTTCTTATCATTTAGCTTCATGGAGTAATGCCCCACAAACTTTTAAGAAGTTTCAGTTCAGTCCTGGAAAGAGGAAATGAAATTTTGCTCATTTACTAAGTTGATCTTGAAGGTCAGAGGGACCCCGATATGTTACGGATGGCAAAACTGCATCAAAGGAGGAACTGGAAGGATTTGGTGATGTTTCCTAGTGGAAGTTCCTTTCTATTCATGTATGGTATCTTTTGGATCTAAATTTTACTATTCTTCCTATTCAGTTAGCATTAAAAAAAACCAGCCGAAACCACATAGGAAATGATTGTGACTTACAACGAAAACGAAAGTAAAGTTTTATTAGTTTATTTTGCTCCAAATAGCAGTATGCTGTTTTGAAGATGGGAACAAATTACTTTCAGGTTTTGCTGTGTTTTGTTATTTATGCTGTTATTTAAAAAATCTTGCTTTTTAAAATAAAACAAGTGATGTCTAACTACCTGTGTGCCTAAAATTACAGAATTTATTTTTTGGTTTGCATACAGTGTACTTACTTCAGCCCAAGCAGTTATGGTTAATTCTTTTATTTCTGAAAGCTACAATAAATACCGCACCCTCCCAGCTGCTCTTTCTTTGAAAATATAAACACCAACAATTATTTAGATCTATTTCCTGCATATATGCAAGAAACTGCTGGCTTTTTTGCAAAGATGAGCAACTGTTTTTTCTTCTTTCTCTCCTTTCAAGTAGTCCTTCCAAAATGTTTTTCACTTAGCAAATCCAATCAGTGAAGTCTTTATATGATCTTCTATATGTCTTGTTAAGAGCACTTCAGAATTCAGACTTTGGAATAGTCCTGTCAGGTCCAGTGTTCATTCTCTCTACCCCCTCCCCTCCAATTACTTAGCCTTAAATCCTAAGAATAGTTCTGAGAATACTGAAAGATTATTCAACATTATTTCAATTATAGATGTTAATACTGCTGGTAGTGTATATTTTCTTAGTGGACCAATACAGCAGACATCTATACCTACTGGCAATTTTTGCATATTTTGGAAAATACAGATGTTTAACCAATGTGTTTATATGAGTGGTAGAGAACTAGTGCACTTAATTCTGACAGTTGTTTACTGCAATATTCCATTTAATTTTGTTTGCTACAGACCCCCAAAGCTGTAAAATATGAAATTAGAATCAAATTGCAATTTGAATTAATATATTAGATTTTAAGCAATGTACCCAGAACTGAAATAATGAAAAGACTTAATGGCTTTTGTATCATAAAATCTTTGGCCAGTATTATTTAAATATTTAGATCAAACATAACAATTATCTGTCAAGGAATGCTAAACATTTTAATTGTAGAACCTGTATTTTTTTCTAACCTTATTTTGCTTTAACAGTTGAAAATTGGGATGATTCTTAATGATCCAAAATCTCTGCTTATGCTTAACTAAACTCTCTTTCTTCATATTTCCTTAAGGGCCTGTGAAAACTCATGTGATATTAAACCAATATGTTTCCATTTAGCTTTCTGCTCTTTCTGGGGATTATACCATTTTTACTTTGATTTCTAGTGTTTCTAGTTTTGTACGCAAAACCACAGAGAAGATTGAGAAAATTGGTACCCTTCATCTGAATCCTGATAGAATCAGACAAGACGTTAAAGATGAAGAGCCACTCTCAGAAGTGGCTGCCAGAATAGAAGCACAGCCTCTGGAAAAAGAGTGAGTAAAATTTCATTTCACCTGTGCCAATATTTTTCTTTCGGTACGATAATGAATTAGGAAAGCTACTGCTTTGTCAGTAAGCTATGAGAACCTTGCTAGACTACTCATATTTCAGATGCATGCCTAAAAGTTCTTATTTTGAAACATATTAAAATGCCATTCAAAGTTACTATAGGAATTGAACTGGGATAAAAAATGCATTGGAATATATGGTGTAGAACATCAAGCATACAAAATAGATATTTGATAGCAAACATGGTTACATCTCTGTTCAGAATGCTGCTGAGAATACGTGGTTAAATTTAGATTTTAAAATCTGTGTTTGTACTGTTGAAATGTGAGGGACTGAATGTGGAAGGAATCACAAGACTAGACTGATCTTCTAAATGCTACGGAACTAAATAAGAAAGTAAGGATGTTTTTTTAACATGCACCTATTATTTATTAAAATGTCAAGAGTTGAGCTACAGAGCCAGCCTCCAGAAGAGGATTACCTTAAAGACATCAAAGCAGTAACTACAGAAACTCTGTAAGTAAAATCAAGGTCTTTTTAAATGAAACATATGTACTGCTCTGTATTCGTTTGAGGAAAGGCAGAATAAATACAATAAACACATTTGTAGGGTATATTGGGCTGGATCAGACATATCTTCTGCATGAAGATGAGCTACATCTTTCTGTGGAAGGTATTCCAATCCAGCAGAGATGTTTGCTGGAAAAAAATGGTGGAAAAATAATTTTCACATTTTCTCTATCCAGAGCAGATTGCGGAGGGGTGGCATGTATATAGGCTATAGGGAGAAGTGGAATTGACAAAAAACATTTTTCTCTTCTGTCCACAAGAAGGACTTTTATTTGTCTGTGGATGTGTATTTTGATGGATAAGCCACGCTGAATGTTCAGTTGAAATATAAAGAATTTTTCATTTCAACTTCCTCTGGAAGTTGCAGGAACCATGGAAGTTCTTCATAATTTGAATATGAATATGGGAGTTGCACAGACAGAAACAACTTTCTGTATCTTACAAAGGCTTTGAGAACCCATGCATTGAAATTTTACCTGTAGTAGCCAGGTGGTTCTGAAACTGTTAGTAGTTGTAATTGCAGTCATTGAAGTACAAGTAAAATGTCAATGAGGAAAACACAGCATACTTCAAAATTTAATTATTTGAATAATCAGAAATTATGGTGAAGAAAATAAAAAGGGTATTTTGAATGTTGTAGTTAATTAGAATTGCAGTATTAGCTGAACAGAATTCTTTGCCAACAGTTTTGTATTTATTAAAGTACAAATCGAATATCTTTCATTGTTTAAAGGGCCAGACTCCAGGATCCACTTGTTTTGTTACAACCACAGTACTTGAGGGCAATTTTGCTGGATTGGATTCCATTTCTAGAAGAAGCCTGTGGATTAAAAGCAGCTGTCATTTTAGATAATGAGACAACTGAGAGAGACAAAGAAATGCCTTTGCAACCTGAAGACAGAACTTTTCAAGAAGATGTGCTAAAGGATCAATATAATGAACTTGAAGATAAGGAACTGAACACAGTATTGAGAATAAACTATGAAAATGAAGATCCAAATACAGTACAGGGTGAAACTTGGGAAGAAAATACTAATTCAAGTACAAATTATCAGGCTGATAATATATTATGTGAACAGCCTTTGAGGACAGAGGCTGTTTTCAACCAGCCGTATCAGATTAATCCCCCATTTTTTATAGCACAGAACATTCAGAAAGATCTGATAGAGCTGACAACTTTATGTTTTGAATTAAATATATATGAAAGTTCACAAGTAAATAATGAACTGTGTGTGTTACCAGATATTTCATGTGCTCTGGCTTCTAAATTCATTAGGGACTATTTTTTCCTCCTTGATTTAGAAAGGCTGAAGAGGTGTATTATTACCTGTCACAACAATCATCCCGAAGTTTGGGATGCCTATATGGAAGGTCTGAAAGGCAAGTAATTTTTAGGATCTTGTGTGTTTGTGTCTATCCATTCTGTAGAGTTTTGTCTTACAAATAAATCTGTAGAAAATCTTTGGAAGCTTCTGTAAATCTTCCTGCAGGACAGTTGTATATTCTTAAAAAATAAGACAACATTCAAAAGACCTGAAGGCTGAAAGGCAGGTAGGCCCAGTTGGAAACTGTAATAAAAAATGCAGGCAAGCCTTAACCTAGGTCACTGGACAGCACTTACTGTCCGCATGTCATTACCTATTGTGCACGAGCACACACACAAAGCTCATTGTTTTAAAAAAATAAACCAAACCCTGTACAATAAGCCTTTAAAATATCTTTGATTAGGAGTTACCAGGCTGTGAGATTTTCTGTTTTCCTGCTGTGGTGGAAAAGAAGGGCAAGTAGGGTTAACACTGGCAAAAGAGCCAATAGATTTGATGGAAAATCCCTGATGCCAGATTAGGCCTGTGGACTGGAAGTTCCTCACATTTGTCTTGGAGATTTCTTCTGATTTGAAGTATAACATTCAGGATTCTTTGGAGAAACCTATTACTATTCAGTAAGGATTGTGAGTGCAAGAAACCCACATCTAAACTTTCCCATTTCTTTTCTTTCAGTGAAATTCATTGAGAGAGAGAATGGTTGCACATTCATGCCCCTTTAATAGAGTCATTCTGGTAGCAACTTCCAGGCTCTAGAATCTCTTTAAAAGCTGCTATTGATCAATAAATTATTAGGAGTTGCTAATAATACATTCAAATTGTTGGTTTGACTTGAAATTGTGGTTTGAAAAGCTGTCATTAATAGTGTATATGTGCATATACAAATATCCATTGACTCATTTGATTCAAGTAGATTGATTCAGAAGTTTGATTTCAAGGGGTGATTCAGTCATATCATCTCTGAATCAAAGATATGAGGGAGAAGTTAAAGATTATAGCCATATTAAATCTCGGGGTTTTTTTCAGTTTATTTAAATGTTAGTTAAGTAATTTCAATTTAGTATTAGTTCCATTTTTTGGAATTCTAGGAAGTGCAATCCTTGGCCCAAAGATTATGCTCCCCACTACTTGTAAGACATTTTTTTTTCCTTTGTCCCTCCATATTCCCTTATACTTCATATCTACTTCTGAGGATTAAAAATAATTCAGAATAGATATGAGAGATGGTGAGAGGAAACAATGAAATTCCACTATGAGTGGAAATCCTCTCAATATTGTCTGTTGCCCAGTGCACTTCGATCAGTAATACTAGGAGTTACTCATCAAGAAACAGTGTAGCTGAGTATATATGACCATAATCCAGTTATCATAGCTGTAATAGGTCAGATTTGAAATGAAACATATGTACTTTGAAAATACAAAAAGTCTGTTACCTATTCAGCAAAGTTGGTTTAAGATTGGCACTGTGAAAATTTATGTTTTGCATAATGCTGCTGTTAAATATGATGGTTGTAACATACAATTATTGGTTTCAGAATTGACTCTGACTAGCCCTGTGACAGTGGCACTTGAAAATGGAGATATGTTTAAAACACTGAAATTGCTAGTTGATTTGGGGCCCTGGGATGCTCCTGTTTTGCTGGCACATGCTGAAAGGTATAAACCTTTAGATTTGTTTAAATACATATAATTTAATTCTTAGCTGTTGACACAGAGAAAAATCACGTCCCTCTTGAGAGCTGTCATGAAACACGTGTAGTTTGTGAAGAAATCCTATACTTCTGACCTTGATAGTGGATCATGCATGCTGTTGCATACAGAGGAATGATTGTCATATTCCTTTCCATTTTTATAAACTAAGTTTAGGCAAACTTTGTTTGGATAATTTTTTTGTATGAGCAGTATGTGGTACAACTAATGTATTGAAAGCATGCTTACTATTAGCTGAATGATAATTCTAGGAAGAATTATGTTTTAAATTTATCTTCTGTGTCTTATTGTAGGCTTTATAAAAAATTTGGAGAAACTTCTCTAAGACCTTTGATCAAGTTTTATCCTTTGATTGCACCTTCAGATATCAAGCAAATTTGTAAAAATAATCCTGAACATTTTCTAGCATATTTAGACAGCCTTATAAAATCAAAGGCTGAAGATGAACGGTATGTATTATGTTTTCTTAATTTTGGGAAGGGAGGCAAGAGATGGAATACAGGAAAATGATACAAATATTAATCCCATCGTAATGACATTTGACACTTGGAGGAAAGTAGTATTAAGTCAGTATTAGTAATTGTTAGGAAAAGAGTTTGTTCATTAGTTTTATGATCTAGTTATTTTGTCAGCTCATCAAAAAGATGTGCTAAACTAATACTGCTGGTACATAGTGCATTAAACATTTCCTGTTTTCTTTGTTTTTATAAACTCTAGAATTCCTAAAACTAAATAAACTTTGTGGTAATATTTGCTTCTCTTTTTCTTAAAAGAAAAAAAAATGCTATTTAAATATGTAAATACATTATACTGAATTTAGATGTGAAAAATGTGAGGCCCAATTAGATACTGTAAATCTGACAAATAATTACAAAAATTACTAATAAATATTTTTTTTCTAGTTTATCATTCCTTAGATCTCTTCTTCATCCTGATTCATTACAAGTAGAGTGGCTGTGTTTAGCAATGTCTCATGATGCCCCACATAAAACAAGCACAATGGATATCCAAGGAAATCCACGGTATGAATTGTAGTTTACTAGCTTTTCTGATTATCTATGTAGCTCCAAAAAGTCTTTTTCCTAGAAGATTTCATCTACAAATTTTTCCTAAGTTTTCTAAGGCCCAATCTGGATGATTAGATGCTAGCTTAAGGAACCAAAATATGTACAAGTTACATGCAAGTCTTTTGCTCATTTTTAACTCCTCCTTTGTGTTAAATGAATATTGTAAAGCTACAATCAGTCATTATTTTTAAATATGCATTAAGGCTATGCAGCTATTTGGGTTAAAAGCTCCCCTATCTCCTCCAAAACATCTTTTATAGTGCTGATCCAAATAGCTGCATACCCTAGACTGCATGAATCAGAAACCATGCTTAACATTTTCCAAATAATACAAACTTGGAAGCCCACTTTTATCTTCAAACAGATAAAGCCATTTGAAACGAATTCCCTAATGGTTTGGTATAATTAAAATAAAAAAAGATTCAAGACAGTATTTTCTGCCTGTAAGCAATGGGTCCGATGTAATGGGAAGTTGTAAAAACAAGACTTTCTTTCAAAGGTTTATCAGTAAATTTTTCTTTATTTTCTCCTTAAGCGTTTTTTCCTTCTGCTCCTCTTTGTGATATTTTCTCTGGTTAATGGCAGTATATAAAATTCCCTTTAATGATATTAATATTAGGTATTAATAATATTTATATTCCTTGCTAATATAGTTATCAGACATCAGGGAGATATGGATCAGATAGCAAGCCTTTTCTGTGGTAGCCCCCTTACTTTGGAATTCTCTGCCACTGAGGTCCACGTAGCCCGCTCCCTCTTGGCAATTAAAAAAACAGCCAATATAACTCTATTCCACTTTAATCTACCCAGTCTTCTGTTTGGAGCAAAATATTAAAACTGTAAACAAATAGATGTCAGTATAGATTTTGATTACAATTATTTATTGAGCCTTCTTTACAAAAAGCTTTAAAAATTAATTTTTACTACTGTTTTCAGGCCACATTCGCATTTGTTTACTTGGGGGTATAATCAACTGATTGTACTTTTGCTTAATCTTCCGGCTGATGTTGTAAGGAAGGAGAAAATGACTGACATATGTCGAAACTATGGGTAATGTGGAATATTTTCTTAAAACAGTCTTGAAACTTCATTTTCATCGTATAATGCATGTATTCTTTGTTTTGTCCTTTTTCATAATTTATCACTTCACACAGTTCAGCTTCAGTCTAGGATATACGTTACTCTTGTGCACAAACATGCTCCCTATATATTAGTGGTCAGATAGTGACTAATTTACTTGTTGTGTATTCTGTATTCTTTTAGCTTTCATACACATTATCTGTCTGCTTCATCTACCACAATTTATTAAATTGTGTTTCAGTTAAAACAAACCTCTCTCTCTCCTCCCTTCTACTTAGGTGACATTTTTTTTTTATCAGTTTATTAGTTCAGCCCATAATAGCCATTGCTAGAATTTCATTTGTGGCTCAGCTAGTGATATATGGAGACCTTGATTATGGTTGCTGCTGAATAGAAGATTCTGATTATGTGTCATCAGGTCAGTGTCAACTTTTAGTGACCATATAGATAGATTTTCTCGGTGCATCTGAATAGAATAAAAAAAAATACTATTGAATTATATATTTTGCTACTTTATTTTGACTAAATTTGAAAATTGAATTAATTTTACCTGTCAAAAGTACAGCCCTAAAAAATTTAAATGTGAATGGTACCAAATGCATAAATTCATTGAACTTAGAAACTCACCTCTCAACTCTTTCATTTTCAGTTGGGTCTAATTATTTAGTCTAGATTGTACCCCAATTTATTAAACTGATGAAATATTTTTCGGTATTGAATCACTCCAAAGTGAACAATTAATAGGAATATGTTTTGGGAACAGAGCATCTCCTAGTTTGGTCTTACTGTCTTTTTTGTAAAGATGTTAGTTAAAAAGGGTATATGCTCTAAGTCATTTCCTGACTATAACTAGTCAATTTATTCATTACATAGAGGGGGGCATCTTCACTCTCTTGGGTTTTCTTCTTTCTTTTTTGTTTTTTCTTTAAAGGAACTGTCCCTGCCACCACCTCTACTGTAACATTCAGCTTGCCTCAGTTGTAGTGGCAATGAAGGAAATTTCTCAAGGCTGCAAGATTAAGACTGTAAATAATCAGCAGCAACAAGGATAAAACTCAGAAGCATAGTCTTCTTCAGGAAATTACAGAATGCATCTGATCTAAAACATTTCGTAAAATATGATGACAAAGGAGACTGTCAGCACTCATGCGATGCTCAGCCTCCCATGTTGCCATCTTGGGGATCAAAAGCCAGCTTCCTTTATAGTTGTCATTGAATCTGTGTATCCCCAGTATTAAAGTAAAGATGGATGCCAAGGCTGCTTATTTTTAGTGACTAAGAGAGAGATACTGGGATTCTCCTCTCCCTGAACAAGAAAAAATGAGTGGAGATTTTTCCTAACTTTGATGATCTATATGTATGCCTGGTGACTTAGTGTTGGTCCTTTTAGTACACTGCTAGTCCTTTGCATTCAATAGAACCACAGAATTGGAAGATGCCCCAGAGGTCATCTTGTCCAACCCCCATTCAGTACAGGATCTGCTAAGGCATTTTGGACAGATGGCTATTAATCCTCTGTTTGCATACTTCCAGTGAAAAGATGAGGCAGCCTATTCCACTAGGTTGACAGCTGTTACCATCAAGAAATTCCTTTTATTATCTAACCTGAATTTGCTTCCCTATATTTTCACATTGGTTCTGGTCCTGCTCTGTGGGGCAATAGATAAGAAGTAAGCTCCCTCTTCTATATAGCAACACTTCAGATATCCAAAGACTGCTATCTTATCTCCCATTTATCTCTTGTGCAGGCTAAATGTACTCAGATTCCCATGGCACTCTACTTGATAACATGGCTGATGTGGAGCCATTTATGAGTACTCTGGTGCAGTCATTGTCAGTTATGACTCCATATAACAGTTATATCACCTAGCTCATATTTTGCCATTTTATTAATAAGGATATAATGATAAATTTTGTTGACTACTTTGCTAAGGTCAAGGTACATATGTCCACATCAATCCCTTAATCTATTAAACTAGTAACTCTGTCAAAAAAGGAGATAAGGATAGTCTGGCATAACTTGGTTGCAAAGATATGCTGGCCCTTGTTCTGCATTCCTATCCAAAGGGTCACTTATTTATTTATCAAATTTGTCACCGCCCATCTCGTTAAATGACTCTGGGTGGTTTGCAAAACAATTAAAATCAAAGTTACAAAATTACAGTAATAAATAAAAACTAAAAGGTTCCAAAAGAATTGGTGATCACTCAGGGAGCGTCATTGAGGTGCTAGACACCCCCAGGATTGGGTTGAGTTGTTATCCTCCCCAGGCAAGCTGGCAGAGCCAGGTCTCCAATTTTTTCCGGAAGGCTGGCAGGGTAGGGGCCTGCCGCACCTCTAGGGGGAGAATGTTCCAAAGGGTGGGAGCAACGGCAGAGAAGGCTCTCCTCCTGGGCTCCACCAGTCGACATTCTCTCACTGACAGGACCTCCAACATGTCCTCTCTGCCTGACCGGGCGGGATGGGTTGATGTGACGGGAGTAAGACAGTCCCTCAGGTAACCTGGACCCATGCCGTGTAAGGCTTTAAAGGTGATAACCAACGCTTTGAATTGGACCTGGAAGCAGAATGGGATCCAGTGCATCTCACGTAATAAAGGTGTTATACGCACTGTTCTTGGGGCACTCAGAATTATCCATGCGGCCGCATTTTGGACCAGCTGTAGCTTCCAGATACTCTCCAAAAGTAGCTCCATGTAGAGCGCATTGCAATAGTCTTGCCGAGAGATGACCAGGGCACGAGTGATTGATCAGAGAGCCTCCTGATCCAGGAAAGGGCGTAACTGGCATACTGCATGAAGGTGGACAAAGGTTCTCCTGGCCACGACTGCCGCCTCCTCCATATATGTTGTTTAGCAATTTAGTTGAGGAACTTTCCCAGTAAAGATGTCAAGCTCACAGGTATTTAATTTCCCAAGTGATCCTCTTTCCTTGTTTTGGAAATAAGAACAATATTTGCTTTCCTCCAGTTATCTGGGATTTCACCAGTTCTCCAGGGATTCTCAAAGATTCTTCAGTCACCTCCTCTAGGTTCTTCAGTACCTTAGGATGAAATTTATCTGGCTCTGGAGAGTTGCATTCATATAAATCAGCTAGGAGTTCTCCTTGTCTGTCCTGAGATGCAGTTTCCTCTTTCCACTAGTGGCAAAGCAATGGTCAGTTAGGTCTTCATTTTCCTTCTGAGAGAAGACAAGTATAAAACATGAATTAAGACATTCTGCCTCCTTAATATCACCCGTTACCAATTCATTCTTTTCTCCTCATGACAGACTTAGTTTCCTTTCATTTCTGACATGCCCATGGGCATTTCTCACAAGGTTCTTCCCAATTTCTGATTTAGTCCTTTTTGACCCAATTCCTATGGTTTCTGGCAATTATCTTGTATCCTTTGATTATATTTCCCTCCTCCATTTTCTATACATGTCTCTTTTTCTTTACGAAGTTTTAGGAAGCTCTCATTGTATCCACACTTGTCTCTTTAGATTTTTCGTTTTTTCTTTCTAGTAGGAATTGTTTATAATTATAGTTTCAGTACACTTCTCTTTTAGGATTTCAAGCCACTAGATCTTACTTACCTTCTAGCTTCTAGTTCACCAAACTGCAGTCTTCTGAAATCCAATATACAAATCTGACTCTTCTCTATTCTCCTTCCCCTTGATATTATGAACATGATCACTTTAGTCACCTTCATTTCTTCAACCAATTCCTTTGTTGGTAAGGATTTCATCCACGATAGCACATCTCCTTATTCCTTTTTATACCTTCTGTCAATTTTTTGAACCTCTACCTTGTGGCAGAGTTAGATTTCCAGATGTCAGAGTAAATGAAATCTTCCATTGGCACTATTGCATGCCTCTTTCAAAGTTTGATCATCTGGCACAGACAGGCTTCCTCCATATCTTCTGCCTGTCCAGGCAAATTATAATAAACTCCCATGATGATATTGCTTTTGTTTCTCTCTTTTTATCCTTACCCTAATGTTCTCAAGATATTTCCATGCTCCAATTCATGAATGTGCACTTGACAGTAAATAAGATTTGTGATCTATACTCTGAATCTATATATTAGTTGAAATAAGAAATTGTTCATCTTCTCATTTAAGTTTAGAATGTCTATTTAGAACTATAATCTAAAGGAAAGGAAGAAAGGAAAGGAAAGGAAAGGAAAGGAAAGGAAAATGAAATTGATTTACTTATTTAAGTTTAAAATATACATATTGTTAATTCTGGTACCTCTCAATGGACTTTTCCTGATTAATATTGAATGATGAGGTTTTATTATTTG